GCTCATCTAAAAAATGACACCCAGTCTATTGTTAACTGGAGCAAGGAATTATTTGTTAGATTTAACGCCCCTAAAACGTAACTGCTGCCTTTTAATCGTTTGAAAGAATCTTCTTTTTTTTATTTTCCACCAGCATTTTTGATACTAACCTCCAGGAGAATGACTCGTTTCGTTTTCTTGGACTAACGTTTTCCGCTGATATGAAGGGGGAAACATTATATTGAATCAACTACTTGATCTGTAGCTAAGACTCTTGGTTCACTGTGTCGTGATAGACAATTTTACATATTTAGAAGTCTACCATTCATCCTCGCTTTGAATATTGCTGCTACATCTGGACTGGTACACCTGTTATATGCTAAAAGGTTCTTGATAAAATACAAAGAGGAATCTGCAATGTTATTGATCCTGACTTGGCATATCGACTTCAGTCACTTTCCCTCCGCCGTAACGTAGTTTTCCTGTACCTTTTCTAAAAATACTTTTATCATAATTGTTCTGTTGAACTTGCATCTATGGTACCCAGACTTTATGAATTTAAGCGCAGTACTAGATTGACAGCAAGGTCTCATTATTTTAGAATATAACTGGCTAGATATAACCTTAAGTTATATACCAACAGTTTCTTCCCTCGTATTTTTAACTTGTGGACTTCTCTTCCAGCCTCTCGATCTTTAAGTTTAAATGCAATGTTAATCGTTATCTTCTGTCTTCTTAATTCTGGTTCTTTTATTGTCTTCTCTCCTTAATAGTATATTTTCCCCATATTCTCTATCACGCAGTAAACCCTTGCGTCTTAGTGGCTTTATTGTTTTGCTTGGGGTGAAATGATTAATAATAATAATAATAATAATAATAAAAACCTCGTTTGTGGAACGCCCTTGAGGCTTCTTGCTTCCCAGTCAACATTGATCTTGATTTAAATGCAATATAATTTTCTTTCGTTATATCCTGTCCGCATAATTCTTGTTCTTTTATTGCTCACTTTCCTAAATAGTATTTTTTTTCATATTCTCTAACACTTAGTAAACCCTTTATTGATTTGCTTGGGGGGAAATGAAAAATATAAAGTAAGAAAAGTCATGAATTTCGTTAAAAAAAAGGATAGGAATTGTAACTGCTGAAAAGGGGAATTGAACCTTCTACGTTTGTGTTTAGAATTAGACTGGCTCAGCTGAAGAAAAAGAAACAAAATAATAAAAAAGGACACGATTAATGTATTGTTTCATTTTTGGGGTTTTCTGATGTTCATTTGATGCCCTCTTCTCGCTTAGGTAGACTAACTAAGTTAAAACTTTAATTTAGCACTCATTTCGTTCGATGTGTGCTCTTCCAATCATTATTATATATATGACCACGCCTTATCTCCCTACATCTACTTCCTTAGTGCTATAGTGCTACAGTAACCCGATAGGAAATAGGAGTAAGGGATGTCATTTCGTCCCCAAGCAAATTTAGTAACTCCCTTCTTGTCCTTTAGACCTTCCAAGCGAGCGAGCTTGTTTCGATGTTTGGGCATGATCACCCGAGAGTATTTCTACTGTTTTGATTCCTAAGAAACAATCTAGTAACCCTCTATCTTGAGTAGACCTTGGGCCTTTCATTGGGTGAAAAAAAAAATTGTATTTTTCCTTCATTTTTAGAAAAAAAATATATAGCGTTGCACCCGATAGTATTCCACCGTCCTGGGTCTGATGATAAACTACATCCGTGTCCTGGGTAAGACATTAACCTACATCCGCGTCCTGGGTAAGACGATAAACTACATCCGCGTTCTGTGTATGACGATAAACTACAACCGCGTCCTGGGTAAAACGATAAATTACATCTGTGTCCTGGGTATGACGATAAACTACATCTACGTCCTGGGTAAAACGATAAACTACATCCGTGTCCTGGGTATGAAGATAAACTACATCCGCGTCCTGGGTATGACGATAAACTAATAATAACAATAATAATAATAATGACAATAATAATAATAATAATAATAATATTAAGATATGGCAGTCCCTGCAGACGGCAATGTATCTTTGAAGATATTCAAAAAGCTGTCAAAATACAAGGACCTTGAAATAGAAATCTCAAAAATGTGGCACATGGGAACATCAACAATCCCTGTTGTAGTTGGAGCCCTATGATTGGTTGGAAAAGATTCCAGTAGACTAATTGAAGGGATTCCTGGAAGCCCGTGCTTCAAAGAGATACAAAAAAAATGTTCTCACAAGTACAGCCTACACTTTACGAAGGGCTTATGTAAAATATGTGTTTTTTTTTTTGTTTTTTTTTTTTTAGTGGAAAGTGTCATGATGCCATTTCTAACCTTAGGTCCCTGGGCGAGACCCAGAAAGAAATGTGTAAACGCCAGAAATCAAAGGAAATAATAATAATAATAATAATAATAATAATAATAATAATAATAATGTTGATCCCAAATGCAGATTCTGTCATAAATAGCCAGAAACAATTGACCATCTTGTACAGGTTGCACTGTGTCTGTCTATATTTCTGAGATGAGGTATTATGTACAGTATTTACATTAGTCGGACACATGGCATAGTGCATAAAGGCTTTGGTTAGATCCAGTGACAGACCCAAAGAATGTGAGTTCAATTCCTGGTTAAGGCAGTGGAGAAATTTCAGAGGGAAAATTAGCAGGAGATAACTGATAACTGACATCCATCAAACATGGCACGTGGAACTAGAACAGTCTACCCCAGTGATCGAAATAAAGGGTTCAGTTCGAAATTCCAACCACCTGAAGAA